GGGGGTAAAAAACCTGGAGAGATTTACCAAAATATTAACAGTAGTTCTTGCTGGCTGGTGGGATTGATAAATACGTGTGAGGTTGAAATTCGGAGAAAATGTGCTGGAACAGTACTGCTCAGGTCAGTCCCAGGATCCTGTCACCGCACACCCTGACCCAGTGGACCAAGGGGCACCTTTCTAACAAGCTCCCTGTGACATCGTGCTGCGGATGGGCTGCGGCCACTTTGAGTAGCAAGGGCCCCAGTGTCCTGACAAAGGCTAAGCAGCTTCATCCGACCTGGACGATGCAACTGGGCTCAAGCTAAGAGCATTCTCCCGGCTTCATGCCTGTGCTCTTCAGTGGGAAACAGCCCCTCTCCAGGCTCCCTCTCCAGGAGAGCTGCCTCCCAGCTTGTACCTCGGCTCTGCCAGGCCCAGCATCCCAGGAAGAGCCGTGAGGCCAGCACCCAAACAGTAAGGCCATGTTCCACAGTTCTGGATCTGTGCCACTCCAGGATAAAGACTCCTTACAGCGTCTCTGTCTGGGGCCCGGCCCAGTGGTCCTTCTCTCTGGCCTCCCCTGATCCCTCAGGCCAGACCCCTGCACCCCTTTACCAGCCTGCTGTGTGGAAGAAATGCCGCCCTTCTCAGTGGGAGCACACACTTCTGCACACACCGCTCTCCTGCGGGGCTCTCCGCTCAGACACCGGCACCCATCAGGCAGCATGCTGCGGGGTTTCCAGGGAGAGCCTTCAGGAAGGGAGCCAGGATGGTATAAAGACAGTCACGGGCTGCATTCAGATCCCTGCCCCACTGTGGCCAGGTAGGCTGGCTTTATTCGGGGCCCCCTTCCACCACTCTCTCCATGGCAGAAGAATGAGGGGGCTCTGAGGAGAAGGCAGAGCACCTGAGCAGTCGCCGGAGGTTCAGGGCTGATGGGCAGCCTTCCTTCAGGCTGCAGGGTTAAATAGAGGAGATCCATACAACTCAACCTTCTCTATGTGTCTTCCTGCACGAAATCAAGAGGAGAAATCTCTCCCCATGCTCAGAATAGAGAAGCACACGACTCCCTGTGGCGTCTCTCTCTGCAGGACAGAGCCGAGAAGCTGTGCCAGGCTGCGACGGTGCTTCATCGCACGTCCTACCTCAGGGTGGAGCCTCCGTGCTCGAACGGACACAGAGAGTCAGTCTTTCTGATTCTTCTCAAAAAGGTCTACAGGAACCTCAGGAGCATGGCTCGGCCGGTAAGCCTCCCACTTAAGGACCGTCCCTCACTCTCGGCCTCCGCTGAGGCTCCACCCCAGGCGCTGCTCTGGGAGTGGGGACGCAGCCCTAGAGTTAGAAGAGACGAATGTGTGATGGGATGCTGGCCGGGGAGAGAGCTACAGGGAAAAGGCTGGGGGTACAAGCGCAGGCCGTGGGAGAGGAGACCACCGTGGGAAGGGGTGACGCCGAGCAGCACGGGGGAGAAGCAGGCCTCGTGGTTCGCACACACAAGGAAGAGCTGGGTGGAGGGAGGCTGAGCAGGCTTGCAGCCGATGAGTCCCCAGAATCTGGCGGGAGATGCCTGCAGAGCTCTGGGCGGGGCAGAGGTAATGCTCTAACTTGGAGCGATGGTGGTAAAGGCTGCTCGGGCGTGGAGGCCAGTTGCCAGCCTTGGGCAGTCACAGCAGACAGGCCAGAGATGGTGCCTGGACTGGGGGAGCAGGGAGGCGCCGGAGGTGGGCACAACTGATAGCAGAGCGGATGGGCCCATGGACGGGGGCGCCCTGCTTGTCCCTGCCTGAGCCCTTTGGGGCCGGCTGGTACTTCACAGAGCAGGGAGCCTGGGGGAAAGCAGGGCTGGAGGCTGAGCAGAGGGTGCAGCGCATCATGGTTTAGGATGCAGGGTTGTCCACTGCGGGGCTCTTGCTGGTGCCAGTGGGGCTCCATCCCCAGCCCCATGGAAACGAATCAAAAAAAGGAGGGCATCTACCGGTGTCCAGGTGGAGAGGTTAAGATGAACGCAGCTAGGGGAGGTCGGGACTGGTAAGAGAAAGCGGAGACAGTTCAGGTGGAGCCGTTTACAGTGTAAGCGCCTAGAGAGGAAGAACGTCAAGGCCGAGCCCAGGGACGGTCCAGCCCACAGCGCCGGGGAGGAGGGCCCAACACAGGGCCCGTGAAGCACTGCCCAGGAAGGGGAGGGAAACGTGACGCGGCTTCAGTCCCACAGGGCAAAAGAGGAAACTCTTCCGGGGAGGGAGTGACCCGCCTGGCCAGTGTCCAGAAGGGTCAATGAGACGGAGACTGACAAGGCCCTGGGCTTTGCAAGATGGTGGTCACGGCCGTGCTGACAGGGATGGACAGGCAGAAATGAAAGACCGAGTGAGCAGGTGTGAGAGAGTGGGCGAAGAGGTGACACAGCAGGGGCAGTGAGACGAGTCTGGGGATGTTTGGCCGTAAGAGAAACGGACTCACAGCCGCAGGGCACGGGTGGAGTGAGGTAAGCACAGCGGTGCCGCCTGGGTGCCCCTGCTTCCCATCAGGAGGGCTGAGCTGCACCTCCACGCTGCTCCCCTTCAGAGTCTGGGCCCTGAACACAGACCAGGGCCCGGGGGCGATGCTACGGTCACCAGTGCTGCAGGCAGCGAATCCCAGTGAATCCTGGGCCTGTCAGCCATGACTCCCAGTCGGGCCAGACTGACGGCCCTGACCGATGCCACTCAGCTCGACCCCGCACACAGGCGCCAGCGAGACGCCAGGCCCCTGATTGTGAGCTAACACGAGGCTTCTTTTGTAGAACTGTCCTGTGAGTGAACTCAAGCAGACGACCCTGAAAGACTTCTTGGAAAATCTAAAAACGATCCTGAAAAAGAAATATTCAGAGTGTTGACGCTCAATATTTTAATTTATGAATTTTAATGGCTTTATTATAAAAATATTTATATATTTATAGCTCATAAAATAAAGTATATGTAAAGTCCAATGGCAGTGTTTGGTGTACTGGGCATGTTTACTTGGCAAATGTAGTTATGGTTTGCACCTTTTACAGAAACCAGTTTTATGGACTGAGGGAATATAAATGGCTTAGGGACAAGTGGAAGGACCACTTCAGTCTCAAGGACTTCCCTCTTGGAACTTCACGCACAAGATGAGTAAAGAACACAAAGCCACACAATACCTAAGTGGGAGGACAGCTTGCAGAATCAGTCTCTGAGCCCTGAGGTCACTTATTTCTGACTGAAAGGTATCTGCTGGATGCTTAGAATACTCTTCTCCCACCAGGGAAAGGAATGTGTGATTCGCACTCAGTAGATGTCTCTGCAGGGACAGATATTCACAGTCATCACAATGCAAATCCTCCCACAGACAAGATGAGAGACTTAATTATGGGCAGAGGGCAGACTACAACTCCTCCCATCCGACAGCATAAAGGGAGGGCGTGGCTGGGAGGACAGGCAGAGTAGAGGAAGGGGCTGATCTCCAGGCTCCCCCGGGAGGGGTTGGTCAGAGAATACTGTCTCAGGTTGAGGGAGCAAGAGACTTGGGACTCAAAGCTGTAGAAGTAATAGAACTGAAAATATTTACTACAAAAACTTGAAAGGGAAGGTGAACATGCTGGCACACAGCTGCCATCCCAGATACTCTGGAGGCTGAGGCAGAAGGATGCTTGTGCCCAAGAGTTTAAGACCAGCCTGAACAACACAGTGAAATGCTGTCTAAAGAAAAACAAAGGATGCAGCAGTCCAACTGCAGTAAACTCTCATTTTTAAATAAGGAAATGAACATATGATATGTAAAGTTGATGAGATAAAACAGTTGATAAAAGAAATCCTAAGGTGATGGTTTTAGTTGTAGCTGGGAATGGTACTGATTGCACTCCTCTGCTTTTATACGTATTTTAAAGTTTTAATAATAAAAAGAAAGAAAGGAAAACTAACCGGTAACAAAGAAAGCTTTATGATGGTGGCCACTAAAAACCAAAAAAACAACAGAAGGGAAAATGGTTTGCTGGGAATAGTCTAGTACCTGGACAAAGGAGGAAAGCAGTTTTCCATTTTAAGTCTCTGTGTGCGTCCATGTGTGTAAATAATAAAGTATTTTTAAATTAAAGAAGAAAATTTAAGAGACACAATAAACCAGGCATGGTGGCACACCTGCCATCCCAGCACGGTGGGAGGTAGAGGCAGAAGGATGGCACTGTAAGGCCAGCCTGGGAGACTCAGTGACGTAGTGAGACCCGGTCTCCGAAACATTAAAAAGGGCTGAGTGTGAAGGCTCACAGTTCAATACCTAGCACAACAAAACACAAGCATCCAAACACATGTTGGCAAATGTTGCAGAAAAACTGGAAACCTTTGTATGTAGGAGGTGTGACTGGAAAATAGTGTGGCCACTTTAGAAAACCTCAACGGGTTAACAGTTTATGACCCAGCAATTCTAGTCCTATACATACTCAAGTTACTCAAGAGACCCTGACCTCTACACAAAGGCCTGCAGCAGCATTATTCCCAGTAGCAAAAAAGGAGAAGCAACCCAAAGGCCCATCAATTGATGGATGAACAAAACATGGTACATCAATACCACAGAATGTTTCTGACGATAAAAAGAAATAAAGTAATACTAATATATGCTCCGAAATGGATGAACCCTGGAAACTATGCTAAGTGAACGCAGTCAGAGACAGAAGGCCATGCGCATATCCAAAATAGGAAATACATAGCTCAGAGCAATACTGACTGCTAGGGGATACACAGCTGGTACAAGGTGGGGAGACTGCTGGTGGAGATGCAGTTCTCTGGGGCATGATGAGGGTGCTCGAAGACTGCACCACCCTGTGACAGACTAAAAAGCACTGAAGTGTATGCTTCAAAAGGATGAATCGTGGGCCGGGGATTTAGCTCAGTGGTTCCAGCACCTGCCTTGCAAGTGCCAAGGGCCCAAATTCAATCCCCAGTACCAAAAACAAAAACAAAAATGAATTGTGTAGAATGAGAACTATATCTCAATAAAGCTGTTATTTTAGAGAAATTGAGAGAAAACCAAAACGAAGTGTCATTAAATGATGGCTTATAGGACATGTTCTCTAGAAGAATATGGAGCTAGGAACAGTGATTGAGCATGCTTTTCATTCTCACTTACACGTGTGACAAAAATTAATACTAGTACTAAATTACACCAAAATATATAACATCTTTTTAACCCTTTCAAAATAAGGGAAAAAAATCAAAAGCTTAAAGTCTCACCCTGACCACAGCCAGTTTCACCCTGCCCACATAAAATACCAGCGTGCCAAGGGTAAGAAGTAACTAAGAGAGTCATGGAGGCTTCTAAGGGCAATCGGAGGAGATGTGAACATTTTAATTTCCTTTATCCTCTGATTGAGCTTTATTTGCATTCAATGGGTAATATGAGCTGTAGTCTGCCACAGGATATGATCTGTGGCTTACACTCTGGGTATGAGGCCAGGATGACAAAGGAAAAGCTGTCAAAAAGGAAGACTTAGAAGGGGCCTCAGGAGGATCTGTGCGGGCCCCACAGTAGGTTTCAGTGGTCAGCATACAACTAACATTCCCATTTACCTCAGACAGAAAGTCCTGGATGCTGGATTTAAACACCCAAAAAAAGCCTTCAAATTTCCAAGAGAACGAGACCACAAGAACAGAGGACACATTTTTAAAGAGTGAGTGAAGAAACAACAGTATAGGAATCCCACAGCTGGCGCCCCTGCCTGGTGGGTTGGGCCTCCCAGCTGTGCATGCACCACGTGGCATTGACAGCTCTGTAGGACCAGCTTCCCCCACGCTGGACCAATGGACAGATCACCTCCAGGACCAGAGACAGGTATGGATAAAAGAATGAAAAACAAACAAACAAACAAACTCCGCTGGGCTCAAAGCTATGGGTGTTTCTCCTTGAAGCATTCTTGGGCCAGACCCTGCCTCTTCCACACACCATGGCACAACTGGTCTGTCAACACATGAGTCTGGCTCCTCAGCTCCTACCCACTTCTTCTCTGGGCAAAGCAGGCACTTTCTCTAGTCTTGGGGCTGATGTCTTGCTACTCTCTAGGTGCAATTTATCAGCTCAAGTTGGAGCTCCATGCTCAGGTCAGAGAGTGAAGTTCCGGCTAGCTGTCACACCCAACATCGCCTGTAGTGGTATTGTTCCTGAGATGCCCATTCTCTCCTTAGCTCTCTAGAATGCATTTTTTCTAATTCATCCTTCCCATCAGTTTTCACGCTCTCTGTTCCATCCTGTCCTTTTAGCTGGAGTTAAGCCGAAGTATGTTTTGGTGTTTTGTCAACACAGCAAGCCCTAGACTGGCCAGAGGAATCACCACTTCTGCAGCAAGTACATATTACAAAAATTCCTGTAAAGCCAGTCCACAAATCAGCACTACGAGGGGAGAAATGAGAAGGAGAGCAAGGAAGCAATGGGAGGAGGAGAGACAGGTTTGTTCCAGAGCCAGCATCAGCCTCTTGAGTGCGAGGAGGAGACCAGTGCTCTGGCTGAGGGCCGATTCACGGATCGGTTAGTCGGGCTGGCACATGCGCTGTGTCTGCCTCCCACCCACTGGCTCCACAGTGCTGCCCAGTGGAGCACAGGGTCCTCCCCTGCGGGCTTCTCGGCCTCAAACAGCACTTCCAGAGAAGCAGCCTTTCCCACAGGGTCAGGTAGGCACGTGTGAGACCGTGCCACTGTCCCCTTCGCCGCCGTACTCCCACCTGTGGCCACCTCCCCGCCAGAGGGAGGCTACTCCAGTCGCCCCCACCACTCACAGGGTGGCATGCGGCAGGCAAAGAGGAGATGCACGCGTGTGCCGCACGGCCACGGCAGGAGGCACAGGGAGGACACCTGGCGACTCTGGTGTAGCTCCTGTGCAGAAATCAGGGCCGACAGAATTTCTGTAATGACTCTGGTACTTTTATGTTGGGTTAGGCAATATCCTCTTGCTAAGATTGGTATCGACTCTGAGGAATATTTTATTCAGTTGTAAAGTCCCAGCTAAAGTCTTTTGTACAACTGGAGAAATAAAGCCTTTGATTACAGACTAAAATTTCCCCAGCCCTCCAGAGAGAGGAGGAGGAGGGGAGCAGGTGTGGAAGAACGTCTGATCTGTCACCCTGCAGGCAGAGTCATAAACGTGTTCGGGTGAGACCTGATGTTCTGATAACGCTGATAAAAGTGACGTGAAGATTGGTCACAGGAAGCCCAAGATAAATGCTGAGAGGAAACAGGTTCTTTTTGAAGTAGCCTCTTCATAATCATTTTCCCACACATTTGTTCTACTTCTGAAGGAAGGCCAAATACCTGATTTGCTTTGCAAATGGAACAGCTTAAGAAGAAGAAATTCAGCTAATACCGCGACTAAAGTGTTTGGAGACTCCTCCAGCTAACTTCACGTTTAGCTGTGGCTGCAGAGCTGTGTTAAGTATTCCTGTCAGCACAAGCTAACGGTGGTCTTCACTTACTTGGACACCACTTTGTTTCAAAATTGGGATCAAAGTGATTTACTGATAAAGATTAGGCCAGAAAATAGCAACAGTTTATTAGGACCAAAGAAGAAAGGGAGTAAGAACACGTGGTCCAGAGTCAAACAGAATGTAGGGAAGGAGGCCACCAGATTTTGTAGTTCTGTAAGCCAAAGCCAAATGAAAAGCACCTTCTTTTACCTGGTTCTTGTCATCCACAGGGGTGGGAAGCAGTCCCTTCATGTGGTATCACTGCTGGAGGGGGTTCATGAGAGAGGAGAGGACGCTCACTCAGCAGTCAGGGAGGAGTCTCAGCGGTGCTCGTGAAGGTGGGGAGGAGGGACACAGGAGGCCGTTTACTCCTTGCTGATGCATGGAAGGTCTTTAATTACACTGGCTGGCCCTACACGTTCACAGAGGTATTACAGGCGGCACTTGAGAGAAGAAACAGGGCAAACTCTAGAATGGCCAGAGGACTTGCTTCTCTAAGTAAAAAGCAGACTTAAAGAAACTAGTCTACAAATCAAAATTTCTCAAGGTCCACTCTGACTGCCTACCACAGCACTTGGTAATCAAGCTTTGTCCAAAAAAAAAAAAAAAAAAAACCCACAGAAAAAAGGCAAATAAACAAAACATCTGACTGTCAGAAATGCAAGCAATTACTGTTGTGGAGATTTGCTAAGTTTATGAAGAGTTTTTGAACGAGACCACAGTAACGTTACCTCTTAACTTTCAGAGGGATATGTTCTGCATATAAACTTCTTTAACATACAGGCTGAGAACTGGTTTCTCTTCTCAAAGGCCTAATTAAAAGGTAACAACCAGGTGAGAATATTTCTGGGCCAGGCACACACCTAGAGGCGCAGCTTCCTGGGACGCTCGGTCAGGAGGGTCACAATGGTGCATCCAGCCTGGGCAAATGAGTGCCCTAATGACACCATTTCAAAACAAGAGAAAAACTTACAAAGGACTGGGGATGTAGTGAAGGTGCTGGGTTCAATCTCCAGTGTTGCTCCCAAAAACTCAAACCCACAAAGAGCTGTGAGATCACAGCCTCTCTTGACCTTACAAACCCGAGAGGCGCTGTGCTCCGGCACCAAGGTAGGTGTCAACACGAAGGAAGCTGAGCAAAGGCCGCTGCGGGTGTTAGGTAAAGGGTTTTATTTCACATTTAACCATGCCACATGTATATGTACAGTACTGATACATCCAACTTAAACAAATACAACTATACATGAAGTACAATCGAAGTGTGGCTTTTGAAATAAACGAAACAACTCATTGTACGATTTTCAATTTTTGCCAGCACAAAGTAAGTAGTACAGCAGTTCCACTGAAGTTATTCATGATTTCAACCAGAAGGACTACAGTATGAGTTCAAAGGCACTAGATGTCTTCTTCTAGTATTTTAAGAACAAAGAATAATTAAAAAGGAAAACAAATGTATAATTAAGAAACTGGGTAGACATGGGTGTGCGCAAATGTAAACTCTACCCATTCCTTAATTCACAGCCCTGGAGGAAAGAGAGGACTTTCCTTAAGAGTTAAGGGTTAAGAGATTAAGAAAGACTAAGAAGGAACAAAAGACAAACCCAAACCATAATCACAATTTTAAAAACATGCTATGGATGAAGCAGTACCACCTCCTTCTTCCAAAGCAACCTTACATTTCCTTTTGTCCCCTCACTCCCCCTTTTCCAGAAAGTAAATGAGACAGTTTGTCAAAACTGTAGATGTGGAAACTCCCACCTCCTCTGACAAAAATGGGAAATATTATTACATTTTATCATCCTAATTATTCCTATATACAATTACAGGTTTTATTAAAGAACAAACTGTAATAGCATTCTACATCAAGACTCCTTTCAATAAATAAATACTACTTTTTAAATTAAAACAAGAATACTCATTCAGGAACTTATTTATATAGATGTGCCACTGATTTTTCAATCTGCACATTTATTTCAAATAATGAGCAAGTTTGTTTAGCTTTCAGAAAATTTAACACTGAAGTTACATTTGTGGACAGAGACACACAGTAAACGTGAAGAGACACAGAACGCTCTCACTGGAGCTAAATGAATAGCCCGAAAGTCCGTATCCCATAGCATCAAACGGGTATCCCAGCCTGGCTTCAGTCTAATTTGGCTATTTCATGAAATGAATATTTAAAATCCATCTGGTATAATCAGTTCGCACACAAATGCTTTTTTAAAATTTTGCTAAAGGCTGCTTTCAGAATTTCTCGCTACTATTTCAACCTCTGATGGACCTCTTTTTGTTGGGGCGGTGAGCACTGGCTTACCTTTCTATCATGCTTTAATCAGACGGGGGAGCACATGGCTGTAATGCCAGCTACTCAGGAGTTTGGAGCAGAAAGATCACAAGTTCAAGGCCAGGCTGGGCAACTTAGTGAGACCCTGTCTCAAAGTAAAAATAAATAAGTAAATTAAATAAAGGGCTGGGGGATGCAACGCAGGGGCAGAGCATGCATGAGGCTCTAGTTTCCATCCCCAGTGCTGGAGAAAAGTGAAAAATATCTACAGTGTCGTCAAAGCTCAGTTCAAAAGTTACTCTCTTCCTAGTAACTGAATTGTTAAAGGCTAGAAACATGGACTTTTAAAAAAGAGAGCACTGATCTTTTTTTCCCACTGCTAAAATTAAGATTTCCGAAGAGTGAGTACTAACGGAGCTAAATGTGCACCACATTTACAGTTACCAAGACGGTTGCTCACATAAGCCTTTCAAGACACACAGCGGCTGAGTCTTTCACAGTACGAGAGGAAAGTTACAGATTTCTATTTCACACAAGAGGAAGAAAATGCTGCTGGTGAAATTCGATTCTAGTCCCTACCACACACAGGACATGCAGCACTCCACTCTGGGAAGCACAATAAATTCGCAGTCACACTTCCTACCACCTCCCCAGCAGCCCAGCTCTACTCACCCTGACGGCTGTGCCACCACTGACACTCACCAAGCTTGTCACAATAATACTGATTCAATAAATCCTAACTTGGGACATCTCAAGACCTTTAGAGCTGATGTGTTTCAGGACTGATTACATAATTTTGAAACACACAAAACATAATGCTAAGTGGTTTAAGAGTAGCATAACTTTCAGGGCTAGGGATTTAGCTCAGTGGTGCTGCTGCCTGCCTTGCAAGCGCAAGGTCCTAAGTTTGATCCCTGGTACCAAAAACAAAAAACCCCCCATAACTTTCAAAAACGAAAAATTTTGTAAGTAGCCAACAAAAGAACCAATGACTCTATTCCAACTTATTTTTCTTTAAGAAATGAGTACAGTTTTTGAGAGGAGCTTTGTTGGGGGGCGGTCCTGGGACTAAGCCCAGGGTTCCGCGTGTGCTACACAAGCACCAGCGCTGCAGTGTCACACCCGTGGCTCCAGCTTCCAGAGGACTATGGCACGACTACACTACTCAACAGGAGAAATTTAGGGAAGCACATTTTCTGTTTATAAAAGATGAAAAATGTTTAAAGGCAAAAGATTTAAAGTTTTTGTTTCTGTTTTCACTTGTCTTCAGTTTTTGGAAAATGGAGACCCTGGTCTATTGGGAGACACTCTCAAAATTTAAAACTTGGACAAGGGAAAAGGTCCTTAAGTCACACTTCAAGTGAATTTTTAAAAATATATGTATAGTCAAAGATAAGTGACCAACATGTAGTTTCTTAATTTTCTGTAACTGTGTCTCCTTTATAGTTACAATTCAATGTTTCAGAAGAATATGAAGCCAAAAAAAAAAAAAAAAAGGTATTTAATCT